TTTTGGTAATGAATGTGACTGCTTTCTGCTCTTGTCCCCAGAATTTGCCCAAGGCTAAATTGAAAAGTAATGCACTAATTTCCTTGGCAGAAGAGATTCAGGATTAATATTGACTCTGTCATGTAGTTATTAGTAATCACTCTTAAGCAAATCTATAATGAAAAAGAGCAAGTGGATCAAAAAGAAATACAAATGTACATTGAAAGAAGAAGAGGAGGAGGAGGAGCACCAAGAAATTTAATGCTTGTGCTGGAAGAAATGAGAAGATCAAAGAGTGGTATGATCAGAAATCAAATAAAGGGAGGGGTGCCCTCAAGGCAAGACCCCACCCGGCTAAGCTTCCAATTTCTGAAAAGAACTTGCCTAAGGAATTTTCTCCTAAACAACAACAACAAATCAAAGCAGCTACAAATAGTATTCAGAGGTGCCTGGATTCACCCCAAAATAGCAGTCAAATTTGGCAGTGCCATCCATGTGGTTCCGGCTTTCAAATTATGAGGGATACATGGATAGAGGTGTTTTGGAATCTTCTATCTGTGGTTAAGGTGAACCACTGAGGCCAAGTGTGTGGCAGGGAAGTCTGTGCATGGAGGCACAGAGAGTCCATTACATGAAGCTGTGAAAGTGAAGCCCAGATTGTGTTAGAGACAGCAGGATGCTGTAGAGGCCAGAGGCGTGGAAGACCTGCCAAGGAGAGCCACAAACAGGAGGTGGAACAGGCCCAAGAGAGAGAAGTATGTTGTAGGCACAAAGCTGGGGGTGGGGGAGCCATCTAAGCCCTTTGACATCAGACATGGAGCTATAGCTGTTAAGTTTGCCCTGCTGGGTTTTGGTCTTGGCTTTAGTCTAGTATTTCCTCAGTAGGTCCCCATTCTTCCTTTTTGGAATGGTAATGTATATCTGTGCCATTGTATGTTGGGGGTGTATAACTTGCTTTTTTTAATTTACAGGGGGCTACAATTCATAAGTTGCTTTGTGTCTTAGAAGAGGCTTTGGACTTTGAAACTGTTGAGACTGTAAAGGTGTATGAAGACGTTTAAAGTTGAACTAAAGGCATTTTGCATTATGTATGTCCACAAGCCTATTTCAAGGAGTGAAATGTGTGCTTTGAATGAGAATGGCCCCCATAGGCTCATTTATTTGAATACTTGGTCCCCAGTTGGTGGAATTATTTAGGAAGGATGAGGAGGTGTGGCCTTGTTGGAGGAGGCATGGCCCTTTGAGATTTCAAAAACCCATGCCTTTCCCAGTCAGTTCTCTCTCTGCCTCATGGTTGTGAATCAAGATACAAGATCTCTCGGCTGTTCCTTTGCTCCCCCATCATGGTCTCTAGCCCTCTGAAACTATAAGCCAAATTACACACCTTCTTTCTTAAGTTGCCTTGGTCATGATATTTTGTCACAGCAATAGAAAAGTAATTGAGACATTCATAATTTGTTATTCTCATTAATCATTTCAAAAGTAGATGAAATCAGCCTATTTTCCCCTTCCTTTTGTATATATCCTATAAAATTTTAGCATGGGGGAGAAAAGGCAAAAAACAAACAAAAAGAACCTCACCTCAGATCAACCTCCTTCCATCCAGCACAGTGATAAAAAATGGGCAACAGTTTATGGGTTCTAACCAGGCATCTGGCAGTTTCTCTTGGCCTCTGTTAGGTTATGAAACATTTCTTCCTTAGCTTCAGGAAGTAGCCTTAGAGAAAGGAGATGTGAGAGGTCAAAATGGGAACCCTCCCAGAGGCCAGGAGCAGAGTCCATGCAGTGGGACAGAGGGTTAGAGAGATAACCAGAGTACGAGCAGAATGAAAAAACAATGACTTTGACTTTGAGGGTTCTTCTTTCACGTATGAGTGGCTGGCAAACTACATTCTGAACTGGTTAATCTGAAGGGGCAGATAATTATAGAAGATGTCAGAAGAAAGATGCCTGTCTCTATTTATAGCGGTTTATTTCTATTTAAATGTGTGCACAGCTGCATTATCTTGGGCTGTGATGTTTGTTGAAGGATTTCAAGCTCAACTGTTGCAGAGGCATTGTGGTTTGAATACAAAAGGAATCACTGGGTTGAGAAGAGAGAGCAAGGAGCATATTTAACAGTCAACTCCAAGTGTCCTTCAAAAGTAATGGAAAGCCTTCAGTGCGATTCTTCCACACATCCCCGAGGGGCAAGAGCAAAGAAATCCTCAGGCATGGACTGGCTGAGAGAGAGAGAGAGGCTATACCATAAGGCAGCTAGGTCTTCTCGCCCACACTGGATTTGATTCTCCTTAGTGGCAAGCTTCTAGGAAGCCAGACCCTCCCTCCTCAAATGATGTAGCTCATCAAGGGGCACATGAATAGTTCCCTTAATGAGAAAAGAGTTAAGAATAGACACCAGGACCCTGCCATGCAGCAGAGTGCAGCTGTCAGTGTGGGCAACACAAGAGTAGCCCTGACGAAAGCAACTCCAGGCAAATGCCAGGCACGCTTGCCAGCACATGGGCAAGTTGTGTGGGACACACCGGATGTCCAGTGTGAGCAGAGGTCGTAGTGCAAGGAAGAGCGCTCACCAGGCATCACCCAGATGACCAATGAAGAAAGGGGAAGGGCAGACTCTCACAGTGTGGGTGTGAGGGAGGTCGGCAGAACAGAAAGGAGTTTATGGTGAAATGTAGCAAGGACACCCAAGGCCTAAAAGGAGACTGCACTGCAAGCCAAGTTACTATAGAAACCACACATTTCCTTTGAAGAAAGTTGGGAGGAAAATCAAAGCCTGGTGGCATTGCATCAAGGTGTTTGCCATCACAGAGGGAGGGACCTGCCTGGACAAGCTGTTTCAGGATCCTGGAGCCAGGACTCCCAAGTCATCCCTGGAACAAATTCAACTTTTAGAAGGTAGTCCAAAATCCTGGGCATACCTCATTGCCTCCTGGAGTTATATGTCGTGAACCTATCCACATTGTACATGTTGAAATATAAAACAAGGTTTATTCTAGCAGGTTTCCATTCAAGCAGCATTACAGTTTCATAAACTGTTGCTTGATGCTCTGGGAGATTTTTTAAAATCTTATCTAACACCAAATATTTATAATTTGCCATTATCTTTTCTTGTGGAACCTCACTAAAAGAATATTATTAAATATAAACAAGAATCTAGTAATCAGACAATTTAATGAGCCATTGTCCTTCAAGTAAGTTATGTGTTAATCTGCACTTAATTGTTAAAATTTTTTTTGGAGTGCCTTGAACTTCCAATGAAAATTTTTATTGATTTATTTTGTCCTGGCCCACGTATTGTTGAAAGTCATAGCTAGAATTATCAAGAGTAATGGCTAATACATTTGACCTTCCAGATCTGTAGGTTCTGCATCTGTGGATGCAACAACCTCAGGCTGAAAATACATACTAAAGGCAGGCAAGATGGTTCAGTGGATAAAAGTGCTTGTCACCTGTAGCTAGAGTTTTCCTTCCTGGCCCACAGTCAAGACAAATCTCTCTCACCTGCCAGTCCCACAGCCGATCAGACCCAACCAAGTAAACGTAGAGACTTATATTGCTTACAAACTGTATGGCCATGCCAGGCTTCTTCCTAACTGTTCTTACAGCTTAAATTAATCCATTTCTATAAATCTATACCTTGCCACGTGGCTCGTGGCTTACCGGCATCTTCACATGCTGTTTGTCATCATGGTGGCTGGCAGTGTCTCTGACTCAGCCTTCCACTTCCCAGCTTTATTCTCCTCCTTGTCCCGCCTATACTTCCTCCTGCCTGACTACTGGCCAATCAGTGTTTTATTTACTAACCAATCAGAGCAACACATTTGCCATACAGAATATCCCACAGCACTTCCCCTTTTCTTTTTTTTTTCAAAAAGGAAGGTTTTAACCTTAACAAAGTAAAATTACATATAATTTGGGGATTTGGGCATAGCTTCTCTTACTTCTTCCTGCTGGAGGGGGGGCGCTGTATCTTATGGGGACACAAATAAAATTTTAGGATTATGGAATAGTCCATGAGCTGTATTGTCTGAGCCAGTTGCCTTCAAACCATTCTGAATGTTGGATCATCTGGGCCATGGTGTCATGGGAGGTGTACTGGTTATATGTAGTTATTGTGCCATTTTATAAGGGACTTGAGCATCTAATGGATTCTGATACCCATGAGGGTCCTGGTACCAGTCTCTGGTAGCTACAGAGGTTGTACTGTATTTGTAGAAGCAACTTAAAAGAGGAGGGATTTATTTTGGCTCACAGCTTGAGGTATAGTCCATCATGGCAGAAGGCATGGCAGCTGCCTTGTGCTGTGGGGGTGGGGGCTCGCTCACATCTGGAAGGTCAGGAAGCAGAGAAAGGCCGAGGCCTACATGGCTCATTGGTATACTGTTCTCCTCTTCCTTTTTTATTCAGTGGGATGGAAGTCTTCCCACTCAATTAATCCTCTCTTGAAATGCCCTCACAGGTGCTTCCAAAGGTGTACTCAGTAAGGCTCTGGGTGCTTGAAAGCTTCCTTAGTCCAGTGCAGCTGGCCGTTCAACAGTCTTCACAGTATCTTCATCTAAGGCAGCATGAGGAACCAGCTGAGAGACAACTGGCAGAAGCAAACGTTGCATGCTCAAATCACACATCCTGAGCTTATTAGCTGTGACCTCTGTTACTTACACTTTCTGCGCCTTAACTTCCTTTCTGTAAAATGGGAATGGCAGTAACAGCGCTTATCTCATAGGGCACTGATGGGGATTAACTATGCCTAGACCAGCACCAAGTAAAGACTTATTAGTGAGCGCACACTGCTCTGACAGAATACCTGGCATACGGCAAACACTCTGTGCTAACTGATATTTCCTAATACTTCTCATAATTTGAGGGAGAGCTTGTATTAGGGGTAGGCAACATGCACAAACAGGCTCAGCAGGCCAGTGATCAAAGCCTGGAGGCTCATACAGCGACAACATTATCTCTACTGTTTTCAATACTGAATTACTCTCAATGTAATAAACCTATCCCTTTGTATTTACCAGAGTTGAAAATATGTCAATGAGGTTGGAGGAAATCAATGAAAGAGAAAATTTCATGAAAACATCTCTGCAGACTGTTGACCTTCGGCTTTCTCAACTGGAAGAGCTGTCAGGCAGGATGGTGAGCGCTCTGGAGAATCTGGCGGGCATTGACAGGTCTGATCTGATCCAGGCTCGATCGCGAGCATCCTCAGAATGCGAGGCCACCTACCTTCTGCGGCAGAGCAGCATCAACAGTGCCGATGGCTACAGCATGTACCGCTACCATTTCAATGGCGAGGAGCTTCTGTTTGAGGAACCTGCCCTCTCCACGGTTCCAGGGTCGGCGTTCCGGAAAAAAACCTGTTCCTTCCGCGTGAAGGAAGAGGATGCAAAGTCGCACCTGGACCAGCCGGGCAGCCTGCACCACACCCCGGGCCCCAGCCCGCCCGCCACTCCAGGCCGCAGCCTGCTTGCCCTGGACGGTCCCATAAGCGCAGAGCCCAGACCGGGACTGGACCCCGGAACCTCCGCTGGCGAACTTGACCTCAAGAGCGCAGAAGCTGCACCGACTATGAATGCAGCCGCTGTTGCAGGCACTCAGCTGACGGTCGAAAGCACCCTTTCCCACCAGCTGCGGGAGAGCAAACTCGCGCGCTACTACCCGGGAGACCCTAATGCCTACAAAACAATGAAGTCCAGGAGCTTCGTCTATTCTGAGGGCAGAAAGCTGGTCCGGGGACTCAGCAACTGGGGTGCCGAGTACAGTTCAATCATGGACCAAGCATGGAACTTCCACTCGGCAGAATGGAAATGCCAGGTGCAAAGGATCACGCGCTCGCGCAGCACAGACATCCCATACATTGTGTCAGAAGCAGCGGCGCCAGATGAGCTTGAAGATGAGCGCAGCGGTCCTCTCCTGGCTCCTCAGATCTCCCGTTCCGCCCTCACGGTTGCCGCAGACAGGACTGAAAAGGAAAACTTACTGTCTGTGAAGCCTCACCAGGCTTTAGGATTCCCCTGTCTACGGTCAAGAAGTCTGCATGGTCATCCTAGGAGTGCTGAAGCCACGCCTAGCAGGTTAGACAGGGCAGGACATGCTGGCAGTGCGAGCAATTTAGCAGTCCTGTCGGTTGCTCCAGAGGGACAAAATGCCAAGCAAGAGAAAAGAAACACGGAAACTGAATGCTAATCTGTTCTAGGTCTCTGATTCAAACCACCACCACAAAAACAGAGCAACAGACTCACAACCAGAACCATGAATGGGTGCCATGTTGGTCACCCAAAACATTATCGATGTCCGGAAATGCTTTCATTTTAAAAAATTGAAAAATATTTAAACCGTAATGGACTTACAGCCATGTCTTGTTAAGCACGTTTTAGTCAACTGTGTTGTTTTTAGTTGGAGTAGAACAGAATGAAAGGGATACTGCCAGGTTAGGTTTATAGGCTTGCCTATTATACACAATCCGGAGATTCAGACTTCAGTACCACATGGACTGTGTGTAGTGTGGTACATCTATACAGTTGTGATCCTAGCACTCATGGGGGTGGAGGCAGCAGAATCAGAAAGTCAACAGTCATACTAGGCTCTGTAGCAAGTTCCAGGCCAGTCTGGGCTTCCTAAGACTGTCAAAAACAAACAAATAAATAAAAGATCATAGTCACTATCAAGATTGCATGAGCTCTTTGTTCTGAGGGCCACCCGCAGCCTGGCAGAGGCCTTAAGGTACTGAAGTCACTACTGAGTCGCTTAATGAGTAATGACAGATAAGTTAAATAGTAGATGTGAAAAAAGGAAGGGAAGGAAAAAATTCAGTAGAAATGAGCAGTAGCCACACCTTTCATATGTTTTTATGAGGAGTTTTTGCTGGTTTATGTTTTAAAATCATACAAAGGGGGAAAGCACAGAATTCTATCAAACCTCACGTTCTAATAATATAGGATGACTGAGTTTTGTGAATACAAGGTTACTGGGTTTGCATTTTCTTGTCTTTGTAGTCCTCAATAGCAAAAAAAAAAATCACTGTATCTTTCTCTAGGAATGGTTGTACAAAGCTGTAGGTAAAACCTAAAGGTTAGTGCCTCAACAGCCACAGAGACGGCTCAGGGCCAAGAACACAAGGTGTTATGCTTCAACATAATTTTCATACAAAACAAAGGGGTGGGCATCCAAAAAGGCACTTTCCTTTGGAATTAAAGGTTTGCATTGCTATCTTGACACGTACGCCTAGGATCAGGTGAAATGCAGTATGCTCTGAGAACCAAGGAAAGGTTGGGGTTTTAAGACCCCAAATGTCATACACTCTGTTACCAAAGTAGGCTCACTGGCATTCCCAGTGCTTACAGGAGCTGGCAGGTGCTGAGTGTCTGATGGAGGTAGCGCCTATGGAAAGCTAGTCTCATTGGGATAGCTGCAGTTCCATCAGCTGACCTATTTCACTGAAGTGTGGCAGGATTAACTCCATTTTATACAATGATTTCTCACAAAGTCAACACCTTTGTGCAGGAGTTGGGGAGGGACAGGGATACCATCTAGGAGGGTCACCACGAAAATATACACAATGGAATGGAAAGAGGACTTCTCTGGCTAGAATGGAAGTTAGTTAGTTCACAGTACCTCTTATAAGGACTCAAGGAAGTCTCCAGCACACACAGAGAGCCAGTCTCCTGCCTGGAATCATTGATAGCTCTCACTGAGGCCAAGGACTTCATAAAAAGAACCATTGGCTAGTGGATCCAAGATCTAAGAAGTAACAGTGGTAGTAAGGGACCATGACAGACGAAAATGAGAGATGATGATTTAAACAGAAGGAAAAGGGGGAGACGAACAAGTCGGTTTCTCTCTCTGAGTTCCAGTGGGGAGGGAGAGATAGAGGGAGACACATGAAGACAGGCAGACATAGCCATAGAGCATCAGAGAGGAGTCTGTGATCTGTCCTCTATTTGAAGCTCACCTCAGAGGTGCCAAAGGAAATGAGCTAATGCGATGACCAAGAATGAGACTGAATCCTTTTTTCCTAAAATAAGACTGAGATTTTAATAGATTAAAACCTCTGAACTGGGATGAACTTTTCAGAAAGGTCTGATGTACCACTATTGAGGTGGGTGGGTCTTTGAAATTTAATCCATAGCATTTATGTAGTCAACAAAACTATTGCTTGTTTGCATATTGTTGCATGGAACATATTTAGTCATTCCTGCTGCATGTGTGTATGTGACTCCATGTTTCATGAAATGATCCACAAAACATTGCTATTGACAACCACGATGATTAAGCCAATCAAAAAATTTAAGTCCTTTATATGGATGGCCAGACCAAGAGCAGGCTTGTGCCTCTGAAAAGCATCTTGGTGCCCAAGCTCAGGGGAACAGAATTTTTAAAGGCAAAACCCACAAAGACCATAATTTACATCAAAGTTAGATAAGGATTGGAGCACCATGAAACGTCCATGCCTGGCAGAGCATACTAAGTGTGCTCTGCCAATTATTAATAATAACCTGCCAATTATTTTTCCTTATATCTTTTCTAGTTATTTTAGATTACTTTAATCATTTTGATTAATACATCTGGACCATGGTCAAGGTCATGGAAATCTCAAATGTGTTGCAAGGCAGATGTGACCATTGGGGAGGTGGGTAGAGTGCTGAGAACTGTCGAAGCAAATATAAAATGGAGTCAGAACAAGATGGCGTTACCTTAGTCATTTTGTTTCACCCACTACATCTTCTCTCATTCCTAAACATTTCCTTTTGATAACAAAAAAATTTTAAAATTATTCCTTTTATTTTTTGAAATTAATGTAATTATATCATTTCTCCCTTTCCTCCCTCCAAGGCCTCTTTTTTTCCTTACACACACACACACACACACACACACACACACACACACACACACACACCACACACCACACACCCCATACACCCCACATACCTACATATATAAGTATTACCTGATTAGTCTGTATAGTGTTAACAACTTGTGTGTGTTTTCAGGGCTGACCATTTGATAGTGAATCATCAATTGGTGTGCTCTGCTCTGAGGAAAGCTTTCTACTGCTCTCAGTATTCCTTAGTTGCCTGTCATTCTTTGTGTAAGGTTGAGGCCTCTTGGGCTTTTCTCTCTTTACATTAGCATATCTATTGTCTTTGTTCAGTTCATGTTTAGGTGGAGAGACTTCGGGGGTGTAGCTTCTGACCCTCCTAGTAGACAAAAACCTCACCAATTACTCCCTGTTCCTCCAGCTATTATAGTCTTTCCTCTCCCTTTTCCATAATGATCCCTGAGCCTTAGGTGCAGGAGCTATATTATAGATGAGACTGGGCTCCACAACTATGCGTTTTGATTGGTTGTGGTTTTCTGTAGTGGTCTCTCTCTTTTGCAAAGAGAAGTTTCCTTGAGGAGGGGTGAGAACTACATTTATCTGTGGGTATAAGGACAGATATTTAGAGTGTAGTTACGGATTATGCTGGTTTAGTAAAATAGTGGTTATAAGCCGGGCGGTGGTGGTGCACGCCTTTAATCCCAGCACTCGGGAGGCAGAGCCAGGCGGATCTCTGTGAGTTCGAGGCCAGCCTGGTCTCCAAAGTGAGTTCCAGGAAAGGCGCAAAGCTACACAGAGAAACCCTGTCTTGAAAAACCAAAAAAAAAAAAAAAAAAAAAAAAAATAGTGGTTATAAGTTCTCCTCCAAGATCCATAAATTGACTGGCCCAGGTAGTTGACTTGCTTTCCAGTACCAGGCATGAGTTCCCTCTTGTTGAGTGGGTCTTAAGTCTAATCAGAGAGCTGATGGTTACTGCCAAGGTATGTGTGCCACTATTACACCTTTAGGGTTATCATGCCATGCTGGTTGTTGTTGTGGTTCATAGCTATCATACTTAGGTGGGACTTTTGGTTGCTTCCTTCTTTGAAATCTTGCATGGTGTCTTCTGGTACCATGGAAGCTAGTCCTCAGGGAGGAAGCTTTCAGGTCAGTTCCAGCTCTGAGCCGCACATCTAAAGTGTATCGTTTCTTCAGCAATAGGGACTTACCTTCCACCTCTAGGAGGCAATAGCAATAGGCTGTGACATTTTGGGAGACTCGTGGATAACCCTGACCAACAACTCAAAAGAAGGCTTCTCATGGCTGGTATTGGGATTTTTATTAGATGGTCTTTGGTTCTTGGAGGAAGGATTGTCAACCTAGATAGGAAAATTTCACCTACTCTATATATGTATATTTATACTCTGAATCACGTGTATTACAGGTATTTTTAAGTAGTTAATAGCTCAGTTCCATATCCTTACTGTTATTTTACCCTCCTTCCTCATTCTTCTGTATTTTGATAACAAAAACTGTTAGCCTTAGCCAAGTCTGAGAGGGGAGCAGATTTCTAAGAAAAGCTTGAGGATCTGTAATTGAACAGAGTTGGTTTGAAGAAAAGAAAGATTGTCCCTGAATTCTCCACCTACCTTTTCAACACACACACACACACACACACACTTGCTAAGAGTTCTCCTACCTACCTTGCTTTGGTAGGGGATACTTGTCCCATCCCTGTAAATCTCTCTAAGAATGGTGGCAATTATATCTTATTAAGGTGTCGCTCCAAAGCAACGTTTTTTAGGAATATTTGTTCTACAGATAGAAATGAATAGCTTCTAATGGTGAAATCTGAGAACCTATGGCAGCCCAGATGTTCTCAAGAGCTTTATTATATAGCTTAAATCATACCATGTAGCTACTTATGTACTCTTACCAACACAGCAAAACTCAGGTACTGAGTTTTATCTACAGGCCTGGGCCCAGCTGCTTGGTATGGCATTGTTACTGCTCCCATTGTCATTACAACATTGTCTAAATACAGAGAACCAACTATTAGGGACAAATAGTCAATGTAACCAAATATATAGCACCATCTAGTATATCCCAAATAAGAACACTACATACGTTGAACTGTATTGGTAAATAAATACAGATTCCACAGATTCTATTTCTGTTCTATATAACACACAATATAATAAGGCTTTTGGACTTATACCACCCCAAATTCTCAGACATCACATATAAGTTATAATATGACATTTGGTAGATACTAAATGTGGTGGGCAGAGCTGCTGCTCCGTGAGGCACTCAGCAGTTAGGATGTCCACAGGAGATGTGCTTTTAGAATATGCTCAGTTTATTCACACAAACGTTCCTTACAATACCATTTATTACAGTAGTCTCATGTAAACAGACATCTTATAGAGCAGGGAACAGTGGGGCAGGAAATGCTGTAGACTTCTGCTAGGGATTCCTCTCTGGTGAGGGCGCTGTGGGAGCAAGCTCTACCAGCATCCTTCAGCTGTGGCAGGCAGGGAGGATGACACTATTGGAATATCCAGAAGGTCCTTGAGAGCTTTGGACAGAGGCTAGCCTTGATAGGCGGGCATGTGTGAGCACAGCCATGGTCACCAGGACCAGAAGCACACAGTAGCCAGTCTCAAAGTCCTTTTGCCGTTGGGAATCAGTGCCGAGGCTTGAGATGTCTTGTCTCTGGACTCTGGCAGTGGGATTCTGGCGTAGCCTCCAAAGTTCCAGTGTTTTGTATTGTTCCAGTGGGCATTGCCTTTGTGCTGCTATCTGGCTCACAATGTAGGGCTGATTTGCTAACATATTGGAGCCAT